TAGGTGAAAACTTTAGGATTTTCAAGCAGGAATTTGAAATGTATTCAATTGCCAGTGGTTTAGACCGTAAACCAGCGAAAATTCAGGCAAATACACTGTTGCATGTGATTGGGAAGGAGGCCAGATTGGTTTACAACACTTTTGAATTTGGGGAAAATGAAAACTCTGAATTGATAGACACATTGTTTGGAAAATTTGAGGCTTATTGCAATCCGAGAAAAAATATTACATTTGGGAGGTATATTTTCGGCAGCCGGAACCAAAGCCCTGGTGAGAAGTTTGACACTTTTGACACTGATATTAGAAACAAAAGTGCAACATGTGAATTTGGTGACTTAAGAGACTCTTTAGTGCGTGATCGCATAGTGCTTGGCATATGTAGCGAGGAAGTGAGGTCAAGACATTTGAGAGAACCGGATTGAACCCTTGAGATGGCACTGAATATTTGCAGGACTGCTGAGGCTAGTGAATCTCAGGTTAAAAGTCTACAGGAAGAAAGTCTGCAGCAGTTGGATATGTTGGAAAAATTCGTACAGGTCAAGAGGTTAAGGTCCAAGCCACAAGGTCCAAGCCTCCTTCAGGACGTGGTGGCAATGTGAAACTATATTCAGGGAGAGCTCAAGGTGCAGCCAACCCCATTAGTCAGAACAAGGGCCGTTCACACGGAAAATGTGACTATTGTGGAAAGGAGCCACACGAGAGGTGTGTGTGTCCGGCTAGAAATGCTGTTTGTCACTCCTGCAAAAAGAGGGGCACTACTCCTCAATGTGTCAGTCACGTGGATCTGTGCGGGTGATAGACGAGGAAGAAGAAGAGGAGAAAACTGATGAAGTTTTTTCTCGGTGCATTTGGTTCCAATACTCCTAAAGTGAAAGACTATCACTACGCTGAGGTCATAGTTGATGGTGTTAAGGTCTCACTGAAAGCCGACACTGGGGCTGATGTTACAGTTATATCAAAGGAATGTTTTGATACGAACTTTCCAGGAAGACATCTCACTCCACCGGACCGTGTCCTCAAAGGTTTGCAGAACAAACTTACCATGGATGGATACTTTAAAGCAACATTGAAATGGAAGAAGAAATCACTGGTTGAAAAGGTGTATGTATTGACGGATACCTCACATCTTCTCTTGAGTTGCTAGGCAAGTGGGTACTTGGGCATTGTTGCCTTCTGTGGAACTTTGACCATGGACGATGTGACAAAGGAATTCCCAGAGTTATTCAGTGGCTCGGAAAACTGGCACAGGAATATGAGATCAAAGTTCAGCCTGATGCCCAACCTTATGCAGTCACCATTCCAAGACGAGTTCCTATCCCTCTCCTACTTCAGGTCAAGACTCAACTGGATAAGCTGGAAGGTATGGGAGTCATCCAGAAAGTGGAGGAGCCAACAGATGGTGTGCTCCGATGGTTGTGGTTCCAAAATCAAACGGTGATGTCAGGAGCTGTGTAGATCTCAGGCAGCTCAATCTGTTCCAGAGAACGACATATGCTTCCTACTGTGGATCATACACTCGGACAGTTGGCCAATGCAAAAGTCTTCACACCCTTGCGAACTCATCAAATTAAGCTTACAGAAAATTCTGCTCTGTTGACTACTTTCATCACACCATTTGGCAGGTACTGCTACACCAGGTTACCTTTTGGGATCACCTCGGCACCAGAGTTCTTCCAGAAACAAGTCTCAAGCCTCCTCGATGGTCAGGAAGGTACTATCGGAATAATGGATGACATCCTCATTCATGGACAGGATGTTCAGGAACATGATGATCGGGTGAGAACAACTCTCACAGCTCTCAGAGAAGCAGGACTCACTCTCAACAAGAACAAATGTGAGTTTGGAAAGTCACAAGTACAGTTTCTGGGACAGACTGTCAGCGACAAAGGTATCCAGATCAGTATGGACAAGGTCGCTGCTGTCAAAGACATGCAAGAACCTAAGAATGTTGCTGACGTTCGCCGATTCTTAGGTATGGTTAACCAACTGGGAATTTTTTTTCATGAATCTGGCTGACATGACTAAACCTCTTCGGGATCGTCTCAACAAGAGGAATGGGTGGATATGGGGCGAGAGTCCTGTATTGGCGATCTTTAAACCGAATCTCCCGACCAAGTTTACAGCTTAGGTACAGGAAGGTTGGCGTCCAGTGGTGTATGCATCACTCAGACACAGAGACAAGGTACGCTCAAATAGAGAAAGAGGCCCTAGCTCTGACATGGGCATGTGAAAGGTTTCAAGATTACCTCGTTGGTATTCAGGTTGTCCTCGAGACGGATCACAAGCCTTTGATCCCTCTCCTTGGGATGAAGGATCTTGATCAGTGGGTTCAGGGCTACAGAATGAGAAGCCTCACCCACCACCCCCCAAGACCCCACACTGAGCCAAGACCTCCTGCTACTGCCTGTCCTCTCATTCCAGACATGTAAGATTACACTAAGGACCTGATGACTGAAATCTGAGTATTTTCTTTAACTGTTTCATTTTACACTGGCGACGAGAGGGAAATGTTTTCCATCTCAGGGTAAAAATGAATTGTAACTTTGATGAGGATGAAAGCAACTATACATAGCATTCGTCCAAATCAGAATGCAATGATTGAAAAGTACTTAAGTGGTGAAGATGTGTTGTTTTGTTCTCCATCCAGGAGTGGAAAATCACTGACATTCGAAATTCTCCCTATTCAGACAAGTCAGTAGAAAATACAAGCCATGCTACTGTTGTTGTTGTGTCACCCTTGATTTGCATGATGAAGAGACAAACAGAAATATAAGTCATTAGGCTCAAAGCAGTGTATCTCAACAATGTAGGCATTTGTGACTTTATCCATAAATTTTGAAAAGACATTGTGATGGGGATCTGATGGCATATTGTTATCCGCTGCAACAATGAAGTTGCGGGGAATACAGAAATGAGTTCTGTCCCTCCGTGCGTCCATCACGCTTTGTCCGAAGCATATCTCCTAAACTATTCGTGATAGCTTAACCAAACTTGGTACACATGTCAACCATGATCCCTAGATGTGCCTTTTGGTTAGACCCAGATATGATTGTTATTTTGTGTTGTTTCCATGGAAACATGACTTGGTCATGGCTGTGACTATGAGAATGTCATCTTGTCTGGAGCAGATCTTCCAAACTGTACATGCAGGCTTCATCAAACTTAGTACATATGTCAAGTATGATCCATAGATGTGCTTTTGGTGGTTGACAGCTGGAATATTGCGGAGTGTGGCATAAAACTAAACTCACTCACTCACTGCTATATACACACCAAAACATTTGACATAGTCGTAACTAACTGACATATACATGAAGAATTTTTTGCCATTGCGGGGGATATTGATGACTTTTTCTGCTTGTTACATTATAGATATATGCGACATCAATTAAACTTCCACATATAGTGCAGACACAACATTTGGATTTTGGAGAATATAAATAACTTTGGAATTTTTTGGGTGAGATCCAGTTGTCCAGCAATAGCAATATCAAGAGATGCTACCCTTAGCTGGTATCCCTTGCAACACTTGATACTCATTACACCAAATCGGTCCACACACCTTTGTACATGTTGTGAAATTCCAAGAAAGTATCCCTCTGCAGACTTGTTTAGTCTCTGAAAATGAAGAAAGTCTCAAGGCTCCTTTTCATTATATATATATTTTTTAATATGAACTTTTTTCAGTAAAATATGTTCATTTCAGAGACTAGTTGTTAGTCTACCTTGTGTATTGAACCAGATGATGGCAGCGAAGGACAGAAAAACTATACAAGAATCATACAAAACGGAATTCGCCTTATCTCGCCATATGGTATGGCTGTAGTGCAATAATAAATGGATGTGTAATAATAATATATCATCAAAGGGAATATCGTTCATCAGGGGCATGGATGACTTTCGATTTAGTCGCCGTTGCCTGAATGCCCTTTCAAAGTAACGGACTTTGAGCACCTACTTTGTGGCTGGATTTGGCGCTATATAATATTTCAGTATTATTATTAGTAGTATTAACAAAAAAAGCCTTTTAGACAGACATGATGGTGGCACCATAGGTCCTTGAAGAGGTCCCTTGTCAAATTCGACAGTTTCTGCCTACGCCACTAATACCGGACAACACCACCTCTGTTGCCCAGACATGCATGAATACTTCCAGGCATGCTATGTCATTAGACCTATGTCATTTTGAATTAAATTGTGTCACTCATTAGTGAGTGAGTGAGTTTAGTTTTACGTCACTTTCAGCAATATTCCAGCAATATCATAGTGGGGGACATCAGAAATGGGCTTCACACATTGTACCCATGTGTGGAAATTGAAACCGGGTCGTGAAGAGCGAAGGCTTTAACTATTAGGCTTCCCCACCGCCCCTCATCAATGAGAGCAGCACCGAAAGTGAGTGGAGAATTTTGACGTTGACGACTGCCACAGATGCCGTAGGAATGTTCAATGGAGAACAAGTCCTGACTGCGCGCTGACCATGACCTGTAGTGGCTGGTTTTGCTTTAGGGGGAATTTGGTCCTAATCCTGGCATGATGGACCCGTGTGTTATCATCTTGAAAAATAATGTTGCAATTATGTTTGTATGGTAGTATGGTCCCGTTGACATGACCGAACGCAGTTCAGCCTCCCAGAAACTCTCAAATACCTTTGAAACACCATATAAGTAAACACGATGTAGGTAAACAATATGAGGGCTCAATCATTATTTCTGTCGGCTCTCATAGTTGATGTCCTTTTCAAAATAAATGCCAGGAACGTCATACGAGGCAACCTGCTATCCAAACTCTGGGGACTTTGAATGTATGCAATATACAATATATTGACGGTGTGACAGTATAGGAACATCGTCATCCCATGGAATTGTTTTCGGAAACAGTCAATTGACATTCCCCTGACATCAATAATATAATACACAAGTACTGATTATATTTACATAATGTTAAGTGAAGTAACCTATCAATAAATATATTCATATTTTTCCCCTTCTGTGCCAAAGACACGACCACTGTGACTTCATCGTCTAGTGGAACGTCCCTTGAGACAGCCACGACTACAACAACATCAACGACTACATTGTCTTCAGGTGGGCTTCATATCTGATCAATCAAAACAATCTGATAATGTGATATTATTAAGTCGATTTACTGTCCCTACTGGAAGACGGTGTATCGGGTTACGTATTGATTTTAATGTTGAAACAATACGTGTACCAGAAATCCTCGCGTAAAACACTTTTGTGTGAAACCAACAAAGAAAGAAATGTAACAGTTACAAATTAGCAGTTTTAATTAAACAAGCGTTACAAAACAATACAATTGACGGTGAATTAATGCCATCACTGCATGTTGAACATAGTTTCCACCTTTCAGCATTTTTTATTTTTCTAATTTTCTGTTCAAAGACACCAACCCATTGACGTCATCGCTTGTTGGAACATCACCTACAACTGTTACCACCACAGCACCAGAACCGGCTTCAGGTAGGTTTTAAATAACGCTCCAGCTGTGAGACATAACACCGTTTGATTGTTCTCAACCGAGCATGTCGACAGTTGTAACAGTAACTCTTGTATTAAAGCTAACTAGGGTTACAAAAAGTACACATTACTACATATGACTGTAATAACTGCATGTTCAATAGCGTTTCCACCAGTATTTCGATTTTTGTTCTCTTCTGCAGTTGGAACATCATCTGCAACTGTCACCACCCCAACACAAGACCCGACTTCAGGTAAGTTTCTAATTACGTTCTGATTGTGAGATATTGAGCCGTTTGATCTGTTCCAACTGAGCATCATCAGGCGCGTAGCAAGCCAATTGTTTCCGATAGGTTGCAAAGCTTTATATTTAGATAGTATTGAGGGCTTGCCCAACCTTTTTGCCAAAAATCATGTGTAAGCCCGGGCTTTTTTAATAATGGTAGCTACGCCCCTGATCATACGGATAAGGTAAGGGTTTTATAGATGGACAATGTACGACGCTGACACGCTTGGACAAATCTTTGGCTGACATTCCGAAAACAACATTGCAGTGTTTATATGTGTTCATGGTAACTGAATTCTCTGCAGATCGTGTGATGCATGTATTTTGATAACTTTGGAGATATTGCTTGCTCTTACATAAGCAATATTTCCTATGAAGCGAAAAGTCAAACATCAAAGAGTCCAGCGGGATGTAGCATTCTCTGAATCATCTTCGACGAAGGTATCCGGCGAATGGTTCTTTGAGACGAGACATAGCCATGTTAATGGTTAGATGAGAATAGCCATGTTAATGGTTAGACGAGAAATGGCCATGTTAATGGTGACACGAGAAATAGCCATGTTAATGGTGAGACGAGAAATAGCCATGTTAATGGTGAAACGAGAAATAACCATGTTAATGGTGAGACGAGAAATAGCCATGTTAATGGTTAGAAGTGGCTAACCAGTTTAACGCCGAAGATTGGTTTCCAAAGATTTAGTCAACAAGATCACCTCAAAGGTAGACAAATCTTTACCCCCCATGCCTGGATCCCACTGACGTTACGACCTATTTCCAGTGTTGTATAGTATTCCCAGAAATTATTGAGAAAGTTGTTTCAGCAAATATCTAATACATGCCGATCAAAGTTTGTAGGAAATCGCGTGACAGCGTATAACAATAATCGACCATTTCTTTCGTCATATCCTAAATATCCCAAAGTCCTCTTTGGTTTATTCTGTCCTTCATTAGTCAACACACATTCTCAATAGGGTCAAGATGTGGACTGTAGCTGAGCCAGTCTGAAACTTGAACATTTTCGTCCAACAATTACGGTTTTGTGTAGCCGGCTGTCTGTTATGGGTTGTAATTTTCATGCTGGAAAATCCAATTGTCTTCATACAGTGTTCGTGCCGTTGGAAGGAGGTGACCATTTAAGATGTCAACATATCGTTCCTTCGTCAAATGTCCACTGAAAATACACAACGGCGCCACTCCACGTGATGATACACAACAGAAATGACTTAGTTTGCTGAAACCTGGAAATCATCTGTATAGTGGGTAATTGGGGAATCCAGTTGGTTTCCATTCACTGAAACTAAGTAACTGAGTTTCCAACTAGATTCCATGTTGGATTCTGTGATTTTTGTATTTCTGTAAATGGAAACCAACAAGAAACTAAGGTCACAGGTTTCTTGTTGGTTTCCATTCCTGGAATTTCCAACTGAAGATTTCATTAAATGGAAACCAACACAAAACCAGAAAATGTAGTTTCATGTTGGTTTCCCGTGTACTGTTTTGAACTAAGTAAATTAAAATTTGTAATTGTTTGGCATGAAGTTGTCCGCGTCCAGTTGGTGTCCATTTATTGAAACTGGGTAACCTAGTTTCCTAGAATCCATAATGGATACTGTAAACTTATAGTTCCGGAAATGGAAACCAACAAGAAACTATGGTCATGTGGATACCGTTGGTTTCCATTCCTGAAACTTACATTTTTAACTTACCTTACCATAGGTATATTGCATTTTACCTGAAGCTTCGCTTGAAAGAGATCAGACAGTCGTTGATTCGCCATTCCTCTAGAATGGCAACCACGTGTATCGACAAGTGTACAGGTGCGGAAGTGACGTGATCTCTCCCCCCGCATGCGCGGGCTATCCAAACATCACTTTTACTGAAGGTGTGCTACGAGTTAGACGTTGTTGTTTTTCGCTACTCTCTTTATTAAAGTTAAACAAATGCGGTTTTTGTTTGGTATGTATGCTTTGTATGTCTTATCGTCCTCTAAGTGTAGGTAAAAAAACAAACCAAAACATAAGTTTCACCTACCTTGCTGCCTCGTGTTTGCACTTCGGTGTGGGGTGTTTTCCCACGTCGCTAGTTTCGCTTTCGTATTATTCATGTCTTGCTGTCTTGTATGGTTCAGTGTTACATTTCACCATACTATCCATGCTTATTTACGTTGCAAATGAGCTGGTATTTCTCAATTATTACTTGTTTTACGCTCTTCGCGGGACAGTGGGTCAGCCATTTTGGTTGTTTAAACTCTGCTGTCTCACCTGTTTGGGCGTGCCCATTTTTACTGAAACTATAGGAAACTACCTGGAAACCAGCTGGAAATGGTGGTTTCCATGGGGTTTCTTCTCAGTTTCAGTGTTTCGGAAACCAGCTTATTTTTGTAGTGATATCCGAACCCACATGTGAAATTTCGGGCACATTATCTTTTGTCAATATTTTCACCTAGTTCGGAGAAAGCCAGTCAGAACTTTCATCAGAAAAGAAAACATTATCCTTAAGCCTTACACCAGTTTAAACGTTTTTCTTTTTGTGTATCATTCATCAATGGTGAGTGAATTCCGCGCTTGTTCACCCAGTTAAGTCTTTGTAATTCCTGTGTAAGTGTTTCATTACATACCTGAGGACTTCCTCTATTAATCATCTCATTTCTGATATTTCAATTTTCTCCTACTCAATCTGACAAAGTCGCCGGCAATCCGTAGTAATGAACTTCCTTGGCCTCCCTGTCCCTGTCTTGTGCTCAATCCTAACTGCTGACTGAATATTCTTGAACGCTCTGTATACTGTAGATAGAGGGATTGCATGTCTACCAGCTAACTATTTTGCATTAGTCACACCTTTCAAAATCATCTAGAACCAGCTTTCTTTTCTCTTCTGCTGTCAAATCTGCCATGTCAATAAACTAAGCAGCCTGCTACTTCCGGGGAAATATCTCTTGATGTAGTAATGTTCATTCCTAACCCTACAACAGTTGCCTCATATATTGAGTACCTTACTACATAACGTAACACCTATTATAAAATTCTGTTATCAGTATTAGGAAACAAAGATTTTCTCAATAATTTCTGGGAAAACTGTAAAACATATTTCTGTAGACGAAATGGCGTCAACGTCATCTGGTGAATACAGATGATAAATTAAGTCAATGCCATTACGGTGAGTGTTTCACGACGGTTGGCATTCGTATCCTTGGTCAGCAGCCAAAGCATTGGTTATGAAATGATCTGGGAGAAATCGACCACTTTGACTCCTTTGTGATTCCAGAAAACCAAAGCCATTTTTCTTTGCAACCTTGATAGTTGTTAGCCTCTGACTGATGAGTCAATTTCATCAGCAGGTACATCTACTCACTTAGAAGACTGCAAAGATGTGCTGTCTGGTTGTGTATTTGCTTCAAATGCATCTTGTTTGAATGGATTTCTTTTGCGTAATAAATTAACACTGTTTAGTACGAGGTTTAGGGAGACAGCAATGGTAATCTATCTTCGTACGTGTGGCAAGTCGACTTGAGTTATTACGCAAATTTGTATATGTGTGTATGTATATGTGTTGGTGTACGTGTGTGTCGTGTGTATGAGTGCATACATAAACCTGTATGTATTGATAAACGCTACTCCAAACACGACTTCCCTCGATGTATATCATTGACACACGCCCTTGCAGGATCTTCCTACAGAGTCATGCCTGGCTACACCCTCACGACTCCAACTGCTACGCTAACGACGCCCATGGTAACCATGTGCAGCATCTGGTGTCAGCAAAGCCCCGGATGTACAGCCTTCAGCTTCAACAAGGGACTGCTAGTCAACAACTGTAAGATCGGTGCAAGTCAGGAAACCACGTTAAGTTCAGGGTGGACTGCCAACATCAAAGGCGCAGTCATGGAGATGCGTAGAGCTCGGTATTCATGCTCGTAGGAAGGAATTTGATGTAAATAATGACGATTAGAACCTTTTTGCTCTCATATATCATTTCGTTACAACGAGCCTTTATACATTTCACCAGAGAACATCTTGTCCAAGGGATCTGCCATCGTTATTTTGGTATGTTAAGACTTACCCCCAACATTGCTTAAACTACAGAGAGACTATTACTATATTTAACTAATATACTAGCTGGAGTTAACATGTGTTACTGTGGGTATAACGTCCAACGCGTTTCTATGCTAAAAGCACAATGGTTTATGTCAATAGATAATGTACAGGTTAATATATATCACAGACAACTCAATGCGCCATGGTTCCCAAAACCCTGCTGAGGAGACGATAGATAATAATGTACTGAATAGGCATCTATTGACGCGTAATTGAACTGAACACAAAATCGGAACATTTAGAACATTGAACCACTAAATTAATTTCATTATTTTGTATCACAGTAGGCTAAGAGGCTCTTCAGTGAATTCAGTAGGGTTATCAATGTATGCCTGGTGTGGGTAAAATACTCCAGCTACAAAAGAGGTCCCAATCATATTAAACAAAGTGTCATCGAAAGGGTTGCAACGTTTAACACTGATGTTTTGACAACGTTTTCATATATACTATTCCAAAAAAGGACGCATAACCCGGAAATCTCTTGCGAAAATGTTGTATTTTCAACTCATGAAAAAACTCGTGTTTAACTCGTCCACAAATAGACTTTAAGAAATGAATTTGTACATCTGTTTAGAAGAAGGAAATGTCTATACAACCAAGTGGATAATTTTAGATAACGGAGACGTTGAGCGCGATGGTGACAACGTAGCATGGTCCCGACGTCGGGTCTCCTGGCTCTAAGTCCAATCTCTCTAAACCTGTTCCGTACAGTTTGACCGGATATCCTCCGAAGTCCAGGCAATCAGCCGTGCTCTCACACGTGGCAGTAAGATCACGAAAATGTAGTACCCGGCTGTACCGGTCTTGGGCTGCAGTAGTGATTCGAGGTCTGCCTGTACGGGGACGGTCATTTGTTATGCCTGTTTGGTTGTAACGAGCTGCAAGCAGTGATATCGTGCTTAGACTAACATTTAGACGCCTGGCAACAGAAAATTGGTAATCTCTAACGTGCATTCTTCTTCCAGTGGCGATGTTGTGTGTCGCTGCGTCAATACAGGGCGTAGTGATTTAACCTTGAAACTCCTTTTAAAACGGAGGCCGATTTCCGAAAGTAATCTGGATTTCTATAACCAGACTGTGCATGCCCTTTGCTGCATAAATTTCACGGTTTTGCGTTTCTTTTTGAGTGAGTGAGTGAGTTAAAATTTAACGTCACATCGGCAATATTTCAGCCATATCGTGACGAGAACAATTAATTTTATGCATAATAAGCAAGGGCAACTATAAAAAGCTGTCAACGAAGGACAGTAAAATAACTAGATTATCACAGATTCGAATTTAAAACTAGCAATCAAATCTAAAACAGTCTAACTATAGGACAATACAAGGTAAAAACCGGCTATATATTGCCAACAACTGAAGGTAGATCACCATACTAGGGACCATGGGGACTTACAGTACATTTGCTTCCTGCATGGACCCTAGCTGGATTTACACCATCCCTTCAGCCGTTAGCAATGTCAGATAATCTAGCCATGAATTAAACGAACATATATTCTACGATTAAAAGAGTAGTAAGTTGAAATTTACTTTGAATGTTTTGGGACTTACGTACCCTCTCAGGAGGACAATAATTTTACGCTACTTCAACCCCCTTTGAGGGCACTGCCACTCACAATCTAAGTTACTAATCAAATCTACCAATAATTAAAATACATCTATGTACAGAACATATTAATCAAAAATTCAATCATTAAATCAATTTCTTTAAAAAGCCAATAATTAAATGATAATTAACATTTGTAAAAAGATCCTTCATTGTTTTTACATTGAAATATATTTATCCCTTTATGATGGAGAATTCAACACAGTCAAGCAGGACATGCTTGACCGTGGTTCTCTCATCACAAGGGATACAAAACGGAGGATCCTCACCTTTCAATAGGTATTTGTGAGTATAACGCGTATGGCCAATGCGACATCGTCGCATAATAACCTCCTCAAATCTGGACTGACAACCCAAGTAGGTATAACCAATGTAGGGTTTTATTTCATGTAATTTATTAATACCTACTTGGGTGTCCCACTTCTTCTGCATCAGATCACGGATATAAGTTCTAATGCCAGCTTTATAATCAGAATATGGAATAAGAAGTGGTGTCACAGATTTGTTGAGTGCTGCCTTGGCAGCAAGATCAGCCATGGTATTCCCAGAAATGCCAACGTGGCTGGGTAACCAACAAAAGACGATGTCGCACTGGCCAGTAGCAAGCTCATTATACAATTCAATAATGTCTAATAAAAGTGGATGTTTACAAGAAATATTTTAATAGCCTGAAGACATGAAAGGAAATCGGAAAAGATTACGTACTGTTTATGTTTAGGATGTCGTTGAATATATTTAAGAGCCGTTAATATGGCGTTTGCTTCTGCTGTAAATATAGAGCTGTTATCGGGTATTCTAGAAGATATTGTTCTGGATCCAATGACAGTGGCACATGCCACTGCGCCACCATCCTTGGACCCATCTGTAAATAAGGATTTGTATGTATTATATTTATTTCTTAATTGACTAAATTCTTGTTTATACTGTAATTCATTTGTTTCTGATTTTTTAAATGTAGTTAATGTTAGGTCAACTTGTGGCCTAACCAATTGCCAAGGCGGAGAAGAAAGAAGACGGGAAGGAGCTATATTTTCCAGCTCAATGCCGGCAGCAGAAAGAAATGGTTTAATTCTTAAACCAAGAGGCGGAACAAGAGAAGGCTTTTGTTGTACAACTCCTCATAAGAAGGATTGAAAACACAGTTAAATGCAGGATTAGACTCGTTAGAATAGAGTTTTGTTATATACTGTAAAGAGAGTTTGATACGACGTTGGGTAAGGATGGCTCATCAGCCTCAACATAGAGACTATCAATAGGAGAAGTTCTAAAGACCCAAGACAAAGTCTCAGACCTTGATGGTGGACTGAATCTAAGAGCTTTAAGTTGCTTTTACAGGCTCCACCATATACGATGGAGCCATAATCAAGCTTCGAGCGGACAAGTGATCTGTAAAGGTGTAGGAGCGTAGCTTGATCCCCCTCCCCACCTTGAATTAGACACGACTTTCAATAAATCGAGTGCCTTCAGGCATTTAGTTTTCAGGGATTTGATATGCGGAAGAAAAGTTAAATGGGAGTCGAAAATGAGACCTAAGAACTTGGCCTCTTTTACAACCTTGATGGGAGTACCATTTAAAAAGAGTTCTGGGTCTTTATGTGGTTTATATTTACGGCAGAAATGTATGCAATTAGTTTTTTGATTTAGAAAATTTAAAGCCGTTTTCAAGACACCATTTATTTATTTTGTTTAAACACAACTGTAGTTGCCGTTCAATGGTGTGCATATTCTTACCACGACAAGAAATATTAAAATCATCCACAAAAAGTGATCCATCTATAGAATCATTTAAAACCTTGGATAAACTGTTGATCTTAATGCTAAACAATGTGACAGACAAAATACTGCCTTGTGGGACACCCTGATCCTGATTATAATGGTCAGACAGGGTTGAACCCACTCGGACTTGAAATTGCCTGTCTTTTAAAAAACTGTGATATAAAAAGAGGTAAACGACCCCTTAAACCAAAAATCATGTAAATCCTTTAAAATGCCATGCTTCCAGGTGGTATCGTATGCTTTCTCGAGATCAAAGAATAGCGATACTGCATGTTGTTTATTGACTATTGCATTTTTGACAAAGGATTCTAATCGTACCAAATGATCAATGGTACTACGATTTTTCCTGAAACCACATTGAATATTTGTTATGAGATTATTGGTTTCAAGATACCATGTTAATCGATTATTTATTATTCGTTCCATGGTTTTACAGACACAACTCGTTAAAGAGATTGGTCTGTAATTAGACGGATCAGTATGATCCCGGCCAGGCTTTGGTATAGGGACTACAATGGCATTACGCCACGAAGGTGGGAAATTCCCCTGAAGTCCATATTGTGTCAAAAATATTTAGAAGAGTTTCCAAACATGATTCCGGTAAATGTTTCAAGAGCTGATAGTGTATATTATCAGCTCCTGTTGCTGTATCATGAGCTTGCTCAAGGGCAGTACGTAACTCATGCATTGAAAATAATTCATTGTAGTCTTCTCCATTGTCTGAGTTAAAATTTATTCTTTTCTTCTCCTGTTGTTTCTGATGTTTCTGAAACTCAGGGACATAATTGGACGAAGACGAATGTTTGGCGAGAGTTTCACCAAGCTTATTGGCAATGTCAGCCTTATCAGTTAACAAATTATCACCGTCCTTTAAATGATGAACGGTAGATTTGGAACCTTTGCCCTTTATTCTTTGTATCATGTTCCACACCTTTGACATCGGTGTTCGAGCATTTATTTTGGAAACATAGTTTCGCCAAGACTGACGCTTATTCTGTTTAAAACTGCGTCGTGCCTTGGCATTTAACATTTTACATTTATCTAAATTATGGACAGTAGGATGTCGGCGAAAATATTTTTCTGCTTTCTTCCTACACTTTCTGGCCTGTTTACATTCGTTATTGAACCATGGTTTACGAATATGTGGAACCGCAGAGGACTGAGGAATTGTTTTGTCAGCAATGCCATTAAGGATATCAGAAAACGACTGAATAGGATCTTCACTGTTCCTAAACCGATCATGAGTTAATTGTTCAGCACACAGAGTCTCGTATAAGGACCAGTCAGCCCTGGCAAAGTTTCTTCTCGATAAAGGTGGATCATCACCAGGGTTGACTGTTTTGAGAATGGTGGGGAAGTGATCACTCCCACATAGGTCATCATGGACCACCCATTCAAATTCATTATACAAGCTGGAGTCGGCAATTGACAGATCCAGGGAAGAATATGTTCCCGTAGCTGGATGTAGATAAGTGGGAGAACCATCGTTATATATACACAGGTGATTATCGGAAATAAATTCCTCAAGGATTTTACCTTTAGTATTAATATGGTCACTTCCCCAAAGCGGGTTGTGACCGTTCAGATCGCCCATGATGAGACATGGCTTCGGAAGTTGATCAAACAGATTTTGAAGATCGGATTGTTGAATATTTGAAGAAGGAGGTATATACAAGCTGCACAATGTCAGAGCAATGTGCAGAGTGAGACGCACAGCAACAGTTTGAAGATCCGTATGTAAAGTGACAGGACTATGAATGACACTCTGGTGTACCAAAATAGAGGCGCCTCCAGTAGCTTTATCGCCTGGAGGGGAGAAGGAATGATAGTCACTAAACCGTCTCAAATTAAAGGTATCAGTGTTTTTAAGGTATGTCTCTTGAAGACATAATGCTGATGGTTGAAGATCTTGAATGAGTAATTGGATTTCATTGAAGTTATTCTTCAGTCCTCTGCAATTCCACTGAATTATATTAGACAATTGAGTCATGGTGGTGGCTCAATCGGAGATCTCTCTCGTGAATGGGAAGAAGAGCTATTCCTCCGCTTGTCCTGTGAGGACAGTGTGACCTCCATGTCGAGAGGTCCAAAGGGGTTCTCCAAAGGGAGCTCGGAAGGTAAAGGGACGGAATGTGTCTCTTTTTCTGTTTAATTTTTTACCTTTTGGTTTTCCAGAACTGGCTGAGGCTGGCTGTTTGTGAACTGTTTTGGA